CTTACTAATTAATTAATAGTTACTATTTACGTTCTTCGTCCTAACGAAACAAAGATATATATATATATATATATATATATATATATATATATAATATATATAATCTACTTACCCCTTTTCAGGATAAAGTACAATATGAATTGGCCTTGAAAGGTTTGAGGCCAGAATGGCTCTATGGTGGCCATTAGTAGTGGCAACTTCCAATGTTCCTTTCTCGGCATCAACCCAGTAGATGTTCTGGCCGGCCCAATCAAAGTCTAAACCCTCTACGGTCTGGAGGTGGGTGTCTACTACCAGTCTATATAATGAAACCCAATATTTGTAGATAATCTGAAGTGAAAGTAGCATTATGTATACAACCTAATTTTATTGAATCAATGTGAAGTTAAAAAGTTAGCAATTTGTTTTTCAAAGTAGGCTGAACTCTGCAGATTGCAAAATCTGCCCCCCCCCCATATACAGTATGAGCAAGTTTATTGAATAACTATATATTATTACTAACTATACTTTTAAATCTGTTGTATTACTTTATAGAAATCTGAAGGTTTCTTGTACATATTAGTAAGCTGCTTCCATTGGTTCTTATAAATTGGTTCAAATACACTGATTAAGAAAAGTTGAATTATCACAAAATATTTGAACCAAAAGTCAAAGTCTTTTATAAGTGTGTGGATTAACTTCGATATTGTTTCTCTGAAGTTTAAGTAGTTAATTTGATTAAAAACAAGTATTCTGTACTTTAATTACTTGTTGCAAGACCAAATTCATAAATAGTGAACTTTACCGGGACTTGAAGTCAGACATGTTGAATGCCAAGATGATTTTCTTACGAATGTCACTAACGTACACAATTGCATGACGCCAATCATATGTTAGGTCTCCCACATCCTGAAGATGAGTCACAGGCAGTTTCTTAATAACATTATGACCTATGTTTTCTTCATTGAACTGAAATACTGCATTGTACTCGGACATCAAAATGAAGTCTTCGTCTCCATTTGCTGTAAAATGTTTAAGAGATCTACCCGTTAGAGTTTTGTAAAGTCATGGCATATTTAAATACCACACAAGTTCAAGTGTTCGTACGGTTCAAATATTTCTAGATGAAGTATGGATTACATTAAATGATACAACTTAACAGATAGTTGAGATTGAAAGTGAGTTACACATTTTCAAAAGATCGAATTCAAGTAAGCTGTTGTTAATTTTGTTACAGCCACAAAGCAATTTAAAAGACTGAGCATTTATATCTCAAAAAACTGCAAATGTTTGTTTTACTCTTTATTACATTAAGTAGTTTCTAAACATTTAAATAACAGCTTTATTTTCTATATCTACCAAGTATGGTGAAGATAAATTTCTGAAGCCTAACTTACAGAGACAAGTCTTTCTATCAACATCCAATGAATAACCAGGTGGACATACACACTGATGTTGTCTTTTTATTCCAAGTAAGCACAGGTGACTGCATGCTCCAGTCCAACATGGATTTGATGCTTATGGGGGTGTGAAAATGAACAAAAATTTTATATGGACAAAATGAGTTGATTTTCCAAGAGTAAAATATAGCTACAATACTAGCTCTGTACAGTTATCTCCAAGTAAAAGTTGATTGGAGTTTCTTTTTATACAAGACTTGAAGTTAAAGTTTCTCTTGTTTGGAACTGTTTCTAAAACATTTGTACATTTCAATAAAGAGATTCTAGAAATCAATGATTAGCCATATCTTAATATACAAACATAGATATAATGTATAATAATAAAAAAGGGGGAGATTAAAGTAACAAATACAATTGTCATAACCATACAGAACATTATTTATAAAAACAAGTAACAATACTTTAATATGCAAATCATATAGACGGTAAACGTTAAAAATATCTACAAATCCATTTTTTTTTATTTTTTTTTTACAACCAAAAAGTAATCTGATGTTGCAGGACTTTACAAGTGATCGTAAACACATTTTAAAAATCTTCTTTATCAATATTCCCTCCACCACGTGCATCTTTTGTGTAAAACCTTTACTGCTTTATTATTTATCCTTTCACATGATGGTACAGAAGTTACACTATACTTGTGTACTGTCAGTTTCATGACATGGTTCCTAGCACTAATCAGCTAACTAAATTTAAGGCACTTTTAAACCTAGCTAAAAACTCAAGACCTGCATTTGTTATTTATTAGATCACACAACACTGCAAGAGGAATGTTATTGTAAAAGAAATCATTGTTCCCAATTCACCCCCCCCCCCACCCTCTTGTGGTTAATCCACAGCTCTTATTGCAGCAAGTACTTTCATTTCTTGATTACATTAAAAACTTAGTGATGAGGTAAACAATTAAATTATTCAGCAAATTTATCATCATCCAACCAAAGAGATTGTTGCCTCATACAAAAGTTACAACCGAAGAGAGTGTTACCTCAAAGTTCTATTTTTCATGACCACTCCTAGCTCTTGTTCTCTTTGATGATGCTATACTTCAGCTTTGTGTTCCTCTCTCTCTCTCTCTCCAAACGTGTAATATTTAGAGTAGGCATTCTGAGCATATTTCAGTAGTTCCTTATTTAAATATACAAACCTCTGTGCAACCAATGGCCAAATCAAACGTCCTCTACCTACTTAAAATTGAACACTTTCCCCATGATTGCATTAACATTTCAATATGAACAACAATTCAAACTGTTGTTAAGGCACTTAAAGTTCCAGGCTTAATGCAAACAGACTAACCACGGTAGGCCCAATCCCACCAGTTACATTAGGAACACTGCTCACCTATATCAAAACAACTCCAAACTCCATTTAGTGCTTCTGGTTTTGTGTAGGCTTAAATAGAACGAATGCAAATTATTGTAACGTTAGCTATAGGTATAGTGTGGAACAAAATGTTCAGATACAACATCAATACAAATTCAAGACCTTAAAAGCCAAAACTGAATTGAAGAGTAAGGCCTTAAGATAAAAATACAAGACTTGAGGACTGGTAGGAACCCTGCAATACTAGAAAACCACTTTTTAAAGAATGCAAGCGAGTATAGAATGCAAGTGTAATATTACTAATAGGTTATGAAGAATATCCAAGACAACTTTAATTATGAATCCTAAATAACTATTAAATACCAACCGACCACTGCAGCTTTAAGTTTTGATTAATGCTCACCAGTCTCTCTCGTAACTGGATGATAAATATGAATCCCTAGAAGGTGGTTACGATGTGCACGGAATATTAGCTGCTGCTCTTTCCCGGTGAATTTATCACAAGACTCCAAGGAGAAAGTGGACCAATCACTCCAATACAGCAAGTCTTCAAATACAGCCAATGAAAAGGGATGGAAAACACTATCTTGAAGTATAACCTAAAGACAAAAGAAGTTAAGAGAACAGTCTTAAAAGTTTATAATAAAGAAATACAGTCACTCTTCAAGAAGTTTAGTATAACAGTAATTTACAGATTGCAATTTTAGGAAAATGTAGGTTTGAGAAAATAAGTTTAAAAGAAGAATATAAAAACCCTACAACTAAAGGACTTTTAAAAGATTAAAAAAGATGGGCCTTTCTTCTTAAGGAGACAAGTTTATGTAGTTTTTAATAACAATAACACCCAGATGCTATTCTATTGCCTACCGCTTAGGCAAAGTTCTGAGGTTCTTTCCATGACAGTGAAGCTAAACTAAATATGGACAAAATTCTTGCCTTTCTCCGATTTCCATCTAATGTTAAATATTCAATTTTGTTTAATTTTGCATCAGCCCAGTAAAGCCATCCTAGAGCATAGTCAATAGCCAACCCATTAGGCCAGATGATATCTGTATCCACAAGATAAGTCTTTTCAGATCCATCCATGCCACTTCTGATAATGGCTGGTTTTCTACCCCAGTCCGTCCAGTACATCAATCTGAAAATGCATAAGAGCATTTTAGACATCACTTGATAAATACGATATATTTATAATAAATTAAGTAGTTGACCAATCAGAACATTAAGAAAATGCCACATCGATCCAAGAAGGCTTGAAATAAGGCTTTTTTTAATTACCCTCTGGCAGGATCCAAAACAATTGATCGAGGCTTGTCCATTTTCTCGGAGATTAACACATGGCACACTGAGCCATCAGTTTTACAAACAATTATTTTTTTCAGCTCAGTGTCCGTGATGTAAAGATTCCTTGCTAGCCAATCAAATGCAATGTCTTCAGGAGTAGCAAGTCCTGAAATTAAACAAGAAACACGAGTAACCTAAAACAGTTGTATGGAAGTTTAAGTGTAATGCAACAAATTTGTGTAATGAAAGAAGTTGACAAATGTGAAATTTTAATTATTTTATTTTTTTGTGAAGTTCCATTTTTCGTATATACAAATATCTCCCCCCCCCCCAAAAAAAAGAACAATTTTGCACCAACCCCACTCAAAGGTATACTTGAAGTAATTAATATCGTGTGCCAACTTACCATTTGTTATGACAGGACGGAAATTTGAGCCATCCAATAATGAGGAATAGACACCTGTAGCCTCGGTGTTAATATCAACCCAGTAAACCCTTCCTTCTACTTCATCGAAGGATATTCCAACTGCATTAGCTAGGGATTTGTGTATGGGAAAGAAACGCTGAGAATTCAACCACAAGCCTCTGATGTCTTGTACATTTGAGAATATTAGTAATGGTTCTGGGCCTATAAAACAGGACTATTTTTTTTTTTTTTTTTTTTTTTTATTTTGAAGTAGACGATTCACACACTTAAGAGGTTATATAAAGGTTAACAGCTAATATTCTGGAACTGTTTAGAGAGTATAGATTTAAGAAACTTTGTATATAACATGAAAAAACTGGCCTCAAAATACAGTTTATTTTCAAATCTTAAGAATGTCTTCACTGATAGCAAGACTAAGTGTTCCATATGGTAGGAACCTTTATAGTATTATCACCAGCAAGATGCACATTAGCTGAAGGTTAACTCATGCATGTTAAACATGACTGACTCCGTTAAACTTAAATTTTTAATCTTCCACCAGGGTGGAGGGCACATTCTTGGCTCAGATGCAACATCTTATCTTTTTGTTTTGTTTCAATATTAAGTTTGTAAAAAGTAGAACAGGATTCTATAAAGGAGACACCAATACTTCATGCATTAAATTTATACTTTTAGTATGAAATCAACATCTTACCTTCGGTTTTACAGGAGTTGTTAACCAAAACATATCCTCTCTGACAGTTACAGTAGTATCCACCAATAGTGTTCTCACAAAACTGACTACAAAATCTGTAATCTTCTTCACATTCATTTACGTCTAAAAATAAAGGCATCTTTTAAATCTCTTTAAAATAAAAACAGGGTAGTTAAAGAATTAAAAAATAGAGGCATCTTTTAAATCTCTAAAATAAAAACAGGGTAGTTAAAGAATTAAAAAAGGCAAGTATATACAGAAAGTTGTTGTTGTTGCAGTTACTTGTAGCAGGTTGGTTTTTACGGGGTGGAGTTGCTAGCCCCGCACCCAACCCTCCTCCTGGACTTGGGACCAGGCAAAGGCAGAGGTTGGCATGTTCAGTGTGACAGGGATTCGAACCCGCGACCCTTTAGATTACAAGTCGAGCGTCCTAACCACCTGGCCATGCCAGGCCTAAGTATACATTTATGTTATTTAATCTTATTTTTAAAAAGTGCCATCTTAAAAACAATGTTCATGTGATAGGAATAATTAAGTGTGCAATAAGTTTGTTGTTAGTTTTCAGCAGTCACTTATATTGGCAGGATCCTGCTAGTTATAAAAATAGTTCTAATATCCGTTAAAAAACAAAGAAAGAATTAATGCATTATGTCAACTATCCTATACATTTTAATGCATGTGCTAGTTTACACACTTTTGCAGTTTTCAATTTTACCTTCACAAGTGATCCCATCAATGTTAAGCTGATACCCCTCTGGACATATGCACTCATGACCTTGAGGAATTTTCTGGCAACCATGGGAACAGTTAGAATTTTGGCATTCATTGGTATCTGCTGATATAAGAAAACACCAACCAGTAATTAACTAACATTCCAATTATACTTTCTAAATAAACAAATAGTGGGAAACCTTGAAGGAGTTAAACTTAAAGCTAACTACTGCAAGTATTAATAAAGTTACTGATTTTAAAGGCAAAGTAATTAAGATATACACAACTATACAATTAGTTAGTTATTTTAAAACCTATTATTAAGCCTGGACTTACCACAGTGTCCTCCTTCATCTTCTCCACCAAGACAATTTATCTTGTCATCACAAACTTGTTTCAAGTCTATGCAGTTGCCAGAATCACACATGAACTTTCCATGTTCTTTTGTGCACAGAATGTCTGTTGCAGATGTATAATCTATACCACGATAAAAGAAAATATTTAAGAAAAATATGACAATGTATAGTTTATAGTTAAAACTACAGTTTGTTTTTTTAAACTAATATACAGAATTTTAAACAGAGTCCCACATATTCACAATACTCATTCTGTAATTTCACAATTCTTATTTTCGATATGTAGTTAGTTAAGCCTGCAGTACTCCAATGTAATAACATAAATGTATTTTCTATTAAAGAATATCCATATACATACCAAGTGTTACACCTACTGATTTTTTGAATGCTTTGCTAGCTTCCAGTATTAAAATATACTTTAAAAGATTCTTTATTTTCTTCATTCCATTAATTTGTTAACTTCTGATTTGTTACTTGCCATGTAAACAGTCACTACAGAATTGTTAAACAGATATAGGACTGAAGATACAGAGGATCACTGCCAATTTACATACCAAAATAAAATTTATGCATGCTAGTCTACTGAAGTTTAGTATAAACATTTTTATTAATTACAAACAAATTGTAATGCTGCATTTTGACCTTAGTCGTCAGTTACTTTTTATTATAGCTTCCATACTTATCTTTAACAGGCCTGTATGCAGAATGTTTGAAGTGTAGAGGGAGTTCTAATTTCCAAAAGCATCCTAATACTATTAGAAGGGGGGGGGGGGGAAGAACTATTTCAAGAATTTACACTATGTAGAAAATGTAATGGCCAAGAAGTTCCAACAAACTAATATCCACAATTGATCAAGATGCTTGTAGTAATAGTAGTAGTAGTAGTAGTAGTAGTAATAACAAGTTTATAAAGTTTAAACAAACATGCATTTCTGGTTAATTTTTTAATATTTAGATTTACACAAATAAGAACTGATGCAAGTTACATTCTTCACATTCAGCTTTATGATGAAGGTTACAACACAATATGTAAAGATACTGTACAAGTTTAACTTACTGCAGTTTTGCTCATCTGATCCATCGTTACAATCCTCTGATCCATCACAGTACCATCTACTAGGAATGCACTGATGGTCGTTACACTGGTAGCCATCACAATTTGATATTTTCTCTATTCAAATAACAGGAAAACCAATGTTAATACAGGTATGTACCGCATGTTCTTTTAAGCCTTTCCAGAACAAAGATGCAGAGACAGAACGTATAAAAATTATACCTAAAAAGTTAAGAAAAAGCATCTTCTCTTCCAAAGTTTTGGTAGCGTTAGAACCAGTCTCATTTTAATACATTTATCACCAATTCACTTCTCTTGTTACCATCTTATGCCAGATTAATAAACAGAACGATCTAGTTTCATTTAGATTGAGCAACAACTCATTTCAGCATTGCCCACAGTCATGATATAAAAAGACTGTTTGGTTTAAATATTAGTGATTAATTTATATTTGCAAGTGAACACACACACACACACACACACACACTAACCAATCTGGAACCTACTGTAGATAAATCCCAAGCCCAATAACAATATAGTATATATTATTTATACTATTAAGAAATCCAAGTAAAAAGCCATTTATTTCAACAATTGGGAAAAAGAACACTATTTTTAAAATCAGACACCCACATTTTATTTATATAAAATTTTGATGAATAAGTAAAAAAAAATAAATAAAAAAAAAATACATCTGATTTAAATAGAGTGCAGTTGCTAACCGAATATTTACTGACAAGTATTAGCATCAGCATTAAACAAGTTTCTTTTAAGTGTTTTGAAAGATGTAACCTTGAACTTCGTTATAATCCAGAAAAGGATTTGTTCCTTTTGGAGCGTGTTTTCTTCTTCAGGAGTTTATTCTTTACATTGAAATGAATTTGTTAATTTCGGTAATCAGAAATTAGCTGCCACTAATATAACTTCCAAATCATATTGAATAACTTTCTTCACTAGATTTTATAATTTTTTTCCTTTAACTTAGTGGTATATTAACTGGGATTTACCCATTTAAAGTTTTAACTCTAGACATTGCTTCTGAAAATTCTCAAAATCATTCCGACCTGTATTAGATTACACGAACAATTATTTCTAATTCAAATTGGTATCAATAAAGTCTAATTTACACAAAAGAACCTTGGTGTATCGCCTTTTAATATACCAACAATTCGTGAGGCAACAAAAAAAACAAAACAACAACTTAAGTATAGGCCTAATTAGTGTTATTCTGTACCAATGAATTAAAGGCTTAAGTTGTTATAACAAGTTTTTCAGAGATCCTCTTATGATTTTCAAAAGCTACATCTAGTAGTGAAAGATACTATATATGGACTGTTAGTAAATGTTCCAACTTAAGTTAAATTTTAGTAGATTAAACTATCGTTATAACTACGTTATCATTAATGTTTAGATATAACAAGTATCAAAACCAAATGGAGGTAAGAAAAAAGGTAATGATAATAAAGACAAAGAAAATTAAACAAACATTTTTTTTATCATAACATACATGCGTAAACACTGTTATGAATTAGTCTAAAATATGCAATAGTTGTTTGGCTTAGCCATTATTGATATCGTTTTCCAGAATATTATATATTATTTTTTCTACAATCTTTGTATTTTTTTCCCCCTTTATACTTTTTTTTTCGTTTCTTTACCCAGATTCATCAGGACCAGGTTTAATACATTACGTAGTAATTAATTCCATACAACCTTTACAGTCTTTGCTATCTAGCCACTGCTTAACGTTGCGTTTATTATAAATCGTTTTAAAATAAAGATTTAAGAGCATGGGATCGCTCAACTTAACCAAAAACAAAGGAATAAAGCACTTTTATTTATTTATTCTGCGTATCAACAACTACCTTTGTTGTATTTGAGCCAGCCTCATCAGCCCCTACTATTGGGCGAAAGATCTAGTCAACAATAAATACGACACCTATAAAATGATTGAATTTGTTATTGTTATCCATTCTTTACTTTTAGTCGTATACGCCCGTAGAAACTGAGAGTATAAAATGTTAGAGACGCAACATGAAGAAAATGTTACGGCTCACTTACCGCAGTTTTGTTCGTCCGTACCATCCAAACAATCATCCTCCCCATCACATTGCCAGACTACAGAGATGCACTTCCCAGTGCTCAAACATTGGATCTCAGTATCTGTACACTTTTCTTCATACCTTGACAACGAGTCTAAATTGAATAATAACAAGTCCATTACGAATTTACACAAAGTTAAAGAAATACATGTTTTAAAGTTGTGGTTTGAGAAGTTGCAGGATGTATAAACAAGATTTAACTATCAAAAGTATTAAGAGTACTTAATTTTAGTGTTAAAATTTGCTATGGAAACGAGTATAATATTTTACCCTTTAAACTTAGTAAATTTTACTTTAACACTGATAGTCTTAAATGCGACATTAAACGCTTTGTTGATACGATTCAGTAGCAAACTAAGCAAAGAAATGTAGTAGGAATTTATATTATAACAACGATATAGTCAGAAATATTTTAAATAAAAGATTATATTAAGAAAAATCAAACCAAAGCTTAAGGGGACAGGCAAAAATCAGTGATCAAAAGTCAATAGCAGTTAATATTCAAGAGCAATAAAGGTTGCGATCTTTGACCCCAAAGGTATCCTAAAAATGAAAAACTTCATTTCGTGCATAACAACATAAAACGAGATCATATATATACAAGAATATTTTAATTAAAATTCCTCATTGCTAGTACTAAATCATATTAGCTCATTCATTTCCATGACCTTTGACTTCCGTATTTAAACCCGCTCCGACTTAAGATTAAGTTATATATCGTATAAATACGTTGATTAAAAAGTTAATTTTAACACTAAAGACTGACATTTAGAATACACATTTTTCATTTGTCAGAAGTAATACGGCAAGAAGTCAAAACATCTTATAACTATCTCGTTTTCATATGCAAATTTATACACAACATCCTCTGAAAACATTTGTTATTGACCCGAGTTGGGGTTGAAAAAAAAAGTTTATGTTAGCTTCTTCCTTCATCAGTTAACCTATTTAGGTAGTTTATAGAGTTAAGGCACTGCTGTGCCGCCTACTCTACGGTACTTAACTGTTGTCAGAAATCGGCAGTTTGGTAGAATTTTAGAAGTCAAATCAAAGATAGATAGATACCAAACTTCAATCCTCACTCAAGAGTCAAGCTATAATTTCACAAAAGTGACCATGCCCTTACCTTATCCTCGAGTGGGGGCGAAAGAGAACAAAGCCGTTTCCGAGCACCCCCGGTAATCTTCCAAATTAAACCGAAATAATTACCAGTATATTGCGTTGTAGAGCAACAATGTTAGACCTATAGTAGAACCGAGTACGCATGCACACATTTTAGCGCGCGTGCGACAAGATATCGCCATTGCGGTGTCACCCAGTTAGGAGGTGTTCCGACAAGCAAACTCGCGTTGCTCAAGTATAAACAGAATGAAATGAAACAATTATTTTCGTCGAAGCAAACGGGGAATGCGTACGGTATACACTTTTACTCTGAGAGTCAGAGTACGTTGGATTATTATATACGCTCCTGTAACACTCAGTATGATTAGCTAGTTACTTCTGCTGTAGTAACTTCCGAAAGGTTTTACCGGAAAGAAAAAGTTCTGCAATGCGTCTAGTTCATGAATATTTTAGTTTAAGTTCCTATTTAGTTTTGGTAGAGTTTTTTTTTTTTTTTTTAAGCTTGTTGAAATAATACGTTCCCGTACTTTTGTGATGTGTGCAACCTTTTGTTTTATTGAATGTTTCAATAGGACAATGAAAATAGCATTAATTCCGATATTTTAGTACGTTTAGAATAGCACGCACACCAATCCAAACTTTTAGGACACAAGTGTAAAACTTTACGTAGACATACATAAATATTGTAAGCATATACAGGTTTAGATCAAGAGCACAAAAACAGTACGTTATGTAAGCATCAAAATGGTGTCAAAGTCAGTATTACCAAGTAATTTATTCGTTATGATAATCACGGTAAATGACGATAACATTTTAATATTTAACTCACCACAATTTGACTCATCCTGGCCGTTTCCACAGTCATTTTCACCATCACAAACCCAGAATTTCGCTATACATCTTCCGTTTCCACATTCGAACCACGTTTTAGGACAATCTAAGTAAAACAGCATTCATCATAAAAGATAAGTTTTCATATATTAAAATAGAAAAATCGCACTCTTCAGAGGATTAAGCATAAAAATCCTCTCTTCTCCAACCCTGCTTACTTGCAAAATGAAGATAACGAAACTTCGTTTAGATTTACTCTGATCTTGCAGTATTAAAAAGAAATGACAATAATTCCGTATCGAGACACCAGAAGATTTCCTTTTGTTTTATGCCAGTTTTATTGCGCGTGCATGGTGAAAGGACTGGGTCCCGATATGCCAGAATTACAATTTGGGACGCAATTTTTTCTCCAATAGTAACTGTTGGGATTGAATTCTCGTTTTTTACTTATTTTACTTTCTAGGTATTGTTTTAAACAGTCAACTTACCAGTGACAGTTTTAACTTTAGAGTATCGTCCATATATGGAACTCTTTCCACATAATGTTTAGAAAACAGTACAAGCCAACAATTTACACAGGTGTTTAGATTAATTCGTACAAGTATACGAGCAAGTTTAATATACGAGTGACAAACGCATCAAGAGAACCAATAAATTTTACTAGGCCCGACTCTACAGGAATGAAATTAGAAATTTTAACTTCCAAGAAGCGTCACAAACTAGAATATTGAAGGTTTGTTGTTTTATGTATTAAAATGTTTAATTGTTTTTGGAGAAAAGTAATTTACAATTTTACATTACTTGTTACATACGAAGAACGATTAATTGTTTCCACTACTTTCAATTTTATATGGTTTATTGTTGACCGCAAGGCTACGCAATAGACTATTTGTGCAGTGTCCACTATAGGTATCGAAACCCAATTTTTCTGCGTTAAAAGTCTTCAGACTTGCTGCTAAGTCACTGGTGCCCCCCTGTCCCATATTCTTTGAATTAGTAGGTAATGTATTTACACTGCGTTAAGTCTTCAGACTTGCTGCTAAGTCACTGGTGCC